AAGAGACGGTGTTAGTGAAAAGGAAAGTGGTTTATTCAAGATGCCATCAAGCTGAAAAGATGGCAGACTCTTGCCTCAGTGTCCATCTTAACATCTCAGTGCAAGCAGAGATGTTTATAAGGAAGGAGAGGGAAAGCAGAACAAAGAGATTAAGGGGAGGGGGTTGAAAATTCTCTACATGCAGACCAGCACAGTCCATTTCGATAAGGACCTCAAAACTGGTCAGGCAGTTGTCTGGTATGTGTCATCCTGGTTTTGCAGTTGAAGGTCAGCAAATCTCCAAGAGCTGAGATGACTGAAGGTTGGAGTGTGTATCTCTCGAAGTTAGTTCCTAGGATTCTTATACACACATGCTATTTATCTACAAGGTACATATTAGTCAGAGACAGTATTTACAGAAACAATGTCAAAAGAATGGTGCGGTGGGTTACAGTTCCCCACTATTACAAATTTTCACCACTGAAGACCCCCAGAAGTCTTTGCTGACCCTTACAACAAGGGAGTGCAAACACCAATGCAAGACAATACTGGCATCACCAGAGAAACACAATAAATTTTTAGTAGTTGATTCTCAAAGAGATGGAGATCTGTGAATTACCTCACAAATAATTCAAAATAATTGTTTTAAAGAGGGTCATCAAGCTACAAGATAACACAGAGAGACAGTTCAACAAAATCAGGAAAACAATACATGAACAAAGTGAGAAATTCAACACAAAGACAGAAATCATAATAAAGAACCACACAAATTCTGAAGCAAAAGAATACAATAAATGAAATGGAAAAATGCAATAGAGAGCACTGCATCACATGCTCGTGTGGTATCTCATGAGGTTAGAGAAGTAGGCAAGAACTGGATCATTAAGGGCTGTGTAAATTATCAGTGGCTAAAGAATTTGGATTTTATTCCGTGAATTGGTAGAAGAATGACATCATCTGTTTGACATACACAAAACTCCTAGAAGGCAGAATGATTGAGGTATTTTAGGTGAATGATGTTGGTTATCACTGGGGTGGCTGTGTACATGAAGAAGAGAATGAATCCCAGTTTATTTTGGAGTTTGCTGACTAGAATTGCTAGTGGGTTTGATGGTGGGAGGTATGGGAAAGGGAGGAATCAGGTAGACTCCTGACATTGGCTTGAGCAACTGGGTGCCATCTGCTAATATGGGGAAAAAACTCAAGGACTGAAAGGATTTTTTTGCTGATAAATCAGAAGCTCAGGCTTGAACATACTAAAGTTAAGTGCATATTAGACAACCAAGTAGAATTGACAAGTAGGCAGTTAAATATAAGTAGCTCAGAAGAAATGTCAAAAATAGTGACACTGATTTGAGAGTCATTAGCTTATTGATTGTATTTAAAAACCATAAAAGTGCAATGAGATCATAGTATCATTTGGGAAAAGACTTCTCTGCATCAGCCTTTGAGTCACTCCAACTTTGTTTCATTCATTTACTCAACACAGTTTATTGAGCTCCTACTGCACCAGGCACTTTTCTGTTGCCATTATAGTTATAGTAGTGAATAAAGGAGGCCAATTGTTCACCTTCATAGAACTTCTATTTAATAGAGGATACAGAAAATTCACCAGTAATCAATAGATATATAACTTTATTGTATAAAGGATAAGGCGACTATGTGGACTTGGTCAGTGAGGCAGGCTAATTTTTATCCTACCAGTGATGGTGTGGCAGCTAATAGAAGAGAGCAGTTCAAGAAAAAGCAGTCATCTGGGTGAGATATTGCTGAGAACCCAAGTTAGAAGGTGACTAAGCTGTGACTGTTATCAGCACTTTCTGTGCAGTAATGACAAAAACAGATTTGTGGGCAATGAAGATGAAGGAATGGAGATAGTGAATGAAGACTGCTGTTTCGAAGGAGTTAGCTACACAGGAAAGCAAAACAGTGGGACCACAGCTAGTGGGAGAAGTGAAATTACGGAAGTGTTGTTGAGGTGAAAACGGAGGACTCAGTAACTATTTTAAAAATAGAACTGATTAGGCTTGTTAGGAGTCTGTGAAAGGGAGGTGCCAAGGAGGCTGACTGCAGAGGGCAGGTTTGGTGGTACCTGAAGATCAACTTGTCAATAATAAACTCCTAAGTTTCTGGTTTGAAAGAAAATAAAAACAAACAAAAAAGGTATAATTACAGAGCATGTTTGTGGTTAATGGGAATGAGGTAGTGCAGAGAGAGTGGGAGGGGATAATTTGAAGGAGTGAAGTTCTTGAGCAGGTAAGAGGAGATAAGATCCAGGATAAACAGGCACAACCTTTAAAAAGTTTTATCTTAAAAATATTTCTCACTTAACTCCATAATGTATCTGTTTTAAGAGAATCCATTAAGTTATTACCAGTTACTTATTAAGCAGCTAGTTGAATTATTTCTCGCAAGAAACCTGAGTAACAGTGGCCCTGGGGGAAGTGTTCCCTCTGTCCCGAGGCTCTGGATCCTCGTCGCACTGGCCACCTGGTGCACGCCAGGGTTTCAGCAGCATTCCGGGGGGCACTGAGGATGCGTCTCTGAACAGGTGGTGGTTACCTTTTTGTCCGTAAATGCTTCTTCCCAGAAGAATCATAAATTCTTGGAACTCAAGGTCTAGACAGGATTCTTACAGCTCGTCTAATCAACCCCATCCCTTATTACAGACCTTAGAACTGAGGGGAGAGGTCCAAGAGGTTAAAACGCTTGCCTGATTTCTCACAACTGGTTAGTTAAAGAACTTGGATGGGAAGCCAGATAGATCTCTTCTCACTCCTAGTTTAGTCCTCTGACTACTAAACTTTACTTTGTTGCCTGAATTTAAAGTCATAAAACAAAAAGTAAACACTCATATAGATGGCATTTTCAGATAAAAGTTTACAGAACATGCTTTCATAGTGTTATAGGAAACAGCTATCAGCCATATACTTATTAATTCACAGAAAAAAAGGAAAATAGTATTAAATAAATACTTTCAGTTTTAGTTTGTACATAAGGAAGAATTACAGATGTTTATAAACACAGACAGTGATAAACACAGGTCAACTATTTCTATTAATTTCCCTTACGAGTCAGCTTTTTTCCTTCTTATTGCATTCTAACATTTACATACCAATAGTTTAAAAGGGGGGTAGAGGATTAAGTGTAATTATATTACTCAAATTACGCAATGGATTATGCTCTTAATCACTTTGATCTTCTAAATGTCATGCTAGATATAGTTTATTTCTCTCACAATGAGTCAGAAGTGGGAATGGGTTCATTCGCTATTTCCAGTAAGTTGCTTTCCACCAACAGGTGTTGTGACTGGTGGGAAAGAGGACTGGAATGCACGCTTATTTGGAGATCTCAGAAATGTACCCTGGGGTTCTCACATAGGGCTGTACGTGAGGCCACAGGCAGCTGAGAGTGTTGGCAGCACAACAGCTACTCACCAGCTTAGAAGAGGCCCTTGAATCCCCTCTGAGTCTGGGAATATTGTTCCCTGGCATGAAGCTGAGAACAGGTGCTGTGTACAGCCCTGTGGTCCAAGCACGGGTCTCAGCTCCACCACTGTGCAATCTTCAGCACATCACCTCAGGATCCAAGTCCTTCATCTGTAAAATTGGAAAGGGAGTGAGGAGTTGACCAAATTTTGATCTTTAGAAATTGTTTTGGCTTTATAATGCTATAGCTCTACAATCTATTGACTGAATGGGTAAAGTATATTGGATGGGAAGTCATATATAAAGATGAGAGCTCAGGCCTTAAAGTTTTACAGATCCATCATTGAGTCCTTTGTGCTATTTGGCAAGTTACTTCATTTCTATAAGCTTTCCTTGCGTTATACTTCAAAGGGCAATGGTGCTAATAGTACCTAATTCATAGGGCTATTGTGGGGGAAGTGGCATTATGAATTCAGTCTTTAGAATGGTGCCTGATACATCCTATCATTCAGTAAATATTTGTTAGTAGTAAGTAGTATTTTTATTTTCTTTGGGAGCACTTTATCATAATAATATACTATTCCCTGAAAAATAAATGAATATAATTCAAACAAGCTTTAATAATACTATAAAGTATGTAGACTACAATTTTTAAAAAATATTATAATCTATTAACTAAAGTAAAATAGGGTGAAAACCCATAATTTAGACAATTGAATTGGAGGTATGATGGGGGAAGATATGGGACACAGATGTAAAGGTTATGAAGCAAGTGAAAGAAATATGACTTATTTCCTCCTTTGCTTTATTGTTGTATGTAATCTTCCTCTTACATATTTTTGTTCTCTCAGCTTGAAAATAGAATCCTCCATGGAAAATTTATCCAAGTAAATAGCTATTCAATTGGGGTCCTATATTATTTTTTAAGACAACATTGTTGTGTTTTTTTGTTATCATATAGAAATAAATAGTAAATCTATCCAACTCCATATGAGCCGCCTCCTTATAATTTCTGCTGTTATTTTTGTAAGTACGGTTTCAGCGTGAACCAAGGATTTAGGTGCATCATAATTTTGGAAATAAATATTCAGGTGTTTTTCCTCAGGATATTGGTAAGAAACCATCACTATTCAATAGTAGTTTGCTGAAGGACCTGAAGAAATTAGCTTAAGATAAAATAGTTATAGAAACAGAACCAACCCATAAAATACTATGGGAAAAGTTGGCACTCTAAGTTTGGTGGTTGGTATCTTGGATAACTAACTATCCGTTCTCCAAAGAAGAGTTGAGTTGTCTGTGGATGTGTAAGTGACATGATAGTGTAGATGAGATTTTTAATGGACATCTCTGAATATGTATGTCCTATATGTTCCACTTCTACCCCATCACCACCTTACCTTCACTGTTTTATGTGACAAATTAAGAAAACATTTTGGGCTCCTCACTACAATCTCCTTAGTGTCTGATGTGAACAGCCGAATCCAAAATGCCTTCTTGTTTCCCTGAAAAAGTTACTTTTTTACTACATTGTAATTTTTGGCTAGGACAGTATTCTTCAGTCTCTAACATTACTTTTATGCTTCTTTATCGGAGGCCAATTGTAAGAACTCCTTACCCATCCTTCTAACAAACGACTTAGAAAGAGACATGCAAAAACCATCTCCAAAAACTAAGGTAAGCTCTATCTGATCACTAGGCTTCCACATAAAAGGTGCAGTAAGGTTCCGCATGTTCTCGAGTGTCCATGATCTCTTGTTACTTCCATTTCTCTTAGCTTTTTTTTCTTTTCTGAACCTGGTGGTATAAAAAGTACTTTTTATTTAGTTCATTTAATCCAAGGTAATAGTCATACAAAAATTCTCTGGACACTTTTATTACTTAATAGGAAGTGATATTCTTAGTAGTAGTATTACTTCTCCATCAGTTGTTTCCACCTTACAGCCCAGGAGATAGTTAAAGTAAATCTGTCCTAGGCTATTACTTCAAAGGATAAAATAAAATGTCCAAACATAATTTTTTTTTCAGAATAGAAATCACTTCATTGATTTTTTATAATTATAAAATATAATTTTTACTTAAAATTTATAATTTATTAAGTAATTAATTATAATTAAATATATTTTCAAAAGTATAAACAATACATGATCAGTAGAAAGTGTTTTGGTCAATTATAAGAAGAAAAAATAAAAACTATCATACATATGACAGAATAAAGAGTCTAATATGTAAAATTTTGTTTTCCTTACTAAGAAAAATCCAAAATGCACTTAATTGTTTTGCCAGTGAAAAGAAAAACTCCTTTAGCCCATACTATGTGATGACAATTTGACCATTTGTTCAATCAGCAAAGTGATTACATTTATTTTAGAGCCCCTTTCCTAATCTTTAATCTTGTCTCTTGAGTAGAACTTCTGTTTAGTAGATGGATACAATATTCCTAACTGGCCATTATGACATTTTATAGAGCTACATTTTTTTCTAGTTATAAGACAAATGTTCTCCAAAATTTATTGAGTTCATTTAAGCAAAATTTAAAGGAATTCCAGTCTCTGATTTAATCACTGGATACTATAAAAATAATTATGCCTTTATTTGTAAAAGCAAGTCAAGTGAAGTATTGGGTCATTATTTAGTGTCTTCTTTATGGTAAGAGTCTACCATTTATTTTTAAAACAAATAAAAACATCTTTTTTAAAAACTTATTTCACCTTGAGGTTTCTGGAAAATTATTTTCACTATAATGCTATCCTTTCAGATTCAAACTATATTTTGTATCTTTTTCAGTGAAATATTTGCATATGCAAGCTTAAATATAATTAATTCCAATGTATAGTAGAAATTTTTACTGAGTCATTTATAAAATTCAGTGTCAACAATATAATCATCAAATAAATGCATTGAAAAAAATGTGGGATTTGAGGAAATTTTTATGGTAAGTTTTGCTTATTAGCTCCATTTATTTATAGTGGTATGAATATTTTTAGGTGAAGAGACCCTAAATGAATCACTTCCTAAATAATAGATACTATTGAAACCTATCATAAAAATTGTTTGAAGGGATTTATTACTCATTACATTAATGTCATTTAGAATATTCCAGATATATACAAAAATCAATAATTAGTATGCATTTATTATCTTCTGTCAGTCTTGCTGTATGGTTCATGACCAAACTAATTCAATAAAAAAATTGCTTCATCGGTTTAGCCTTGGTTTATAACTTTATTTCTTTGTGGCCTTACATGAGCAAGTTTAAGTTTACATGAATAAACTAGGCTGTGCTTAGTTTAGAGGTGATTAAACCTTTGTAATTTCAAATCCCAGACATGAGGCAAACAGAACTACCTACAAGAGATTCTAAGACACTAACTCTTTCGCCAAGATTTTTTTCTTTACATCTTTTTCTATCCAGTTGATCTTTGAAAGCTAAAGCTGAGAATACCTTTAAAATAGGGTGAGTGTGTCATTTCTAGAGTGGTTTAGGGAGCTATGAGAATGATGAGTATCCTTGCTATTACTGTAACTCCATTTGGCCTCCATAACTGTCTTTCCCAGGCACCTCTAGTTGTAACTGTATTTGCCTTGGACAGCTAAGTATTCTATCTCTACATGGCTAGAAATGTAAAATGGTAATACAGAGGTGGCATATGTACATTGGCTCTAGAGATGTCTCTCTAGTTTAAGTCATCTGTCTCTATGTGTGTTCCCTCTGTTAGCTGTTGTTTATGCTCTTAGGCAATGGGAAGGATTACATTTCTCTTCCTCAGGTAGGAAAGCCTCTTTTTGATTGAGCCCAAGCTGGGGGGGGAAAAAAAGATCACTCCAATATACATTGCCATGACACTTCTTGGACGAGCAGTAATCACCAGCTCTGGGAGCTCAAGGACACAGTCACACAGCCATTTCACGTCCAATAGTGTGTAGACTGCATATGCAGAAATCAGTGCAATACATGATACTGAAGAGAACATCTTTTTCTGCTACTTACTTCCAGACTTTCTCTCTGTTTTTATTTAAAGGCATATATTACAGACCACATACAGTTCAGTCTTTACTTTCTATCCATTCTGACCTCTACCTTTCAGTGATGTAGTTATTGATATGGTTAGATTGCAGGTCTACTGGTAGTCTCATGTTTTCTGTATGTTCATTCTGATTTTGTTTCTCTGTTGTTTCTTTCATGGCTCTTAGATTACTGGACTTTAAAAAATTCCATTCCATTTTAATTTGTCTTTTGGACTTTTAGCTATAGCTCTTTGCATTGTTTTTTTTTTAATTATTACAATACACATTCTTAACATTTCAGTCTACTCAGTGTTTTACTACTTTACATAAAATCTAACCATTTAACCATAGATTCATTTATTTTCCTTTATTTCTTCATACTATAATTGTCATATGCATTATATCTTAATAGCTTGACAACTCAGTGTTAAAATTCTTGCTTTAAAGGGTCATATGTATTTCAAATAAATCAAGAGAAGCACATTTTTTTTATATTTACACATACAAGGTCTGTCTGGGAAAAGTCCAACCATTGTTAATATAAAGAGAACGGTTTATGCTCCATTGATGTAACTTGGCAACCAAGGAGAGTGGACTGGAATGCACATGAGTGAACAGTGATGACTTCACTGTACTAGTCAGGGCAGTGGTAGGTACCATTGAGTGAGCATGTGTGCTGTGTGGCCATCACATTCAAAACAACTGAGCGAGTAGAGCAACAAATCTGCATCAAATTTTTCCTTAAGCTTAAACAGTCCTCCTTGGAAACTATTTTGATGATTCAGAAGGCCACAGCTGTGGGCACCTGGTGATTGGCATCTTCACAACAACGCACCTGCTTATGCATCATATCTCATGCAGAGTTTTTTGATGAAATATCAAATCACCCAGGTGACTTAACCCCCACTACAGCCCAGATTTGGCACCCTATGACTTCTGGCTTGTCTTAAAACTAAAATCACCTATGAAAGGGAAAAGATTTCAGGTCATCGATGAGATTCAGGAAAATATGACAGGGCAGCTAATACTGATTCCCATAAAGGATTTGGCAGTGTTTTTTGAACAGTATAAAAGATTCTAGAACTATACGTGGTCCCAAGGTGCCTACTTTGAAGGGGACTGAGGTATCATTGTCCTATGTACAATATTTCTTATATCTTCATTAAATGTCTCTATTTTTTTCTACTGTGTGGCTGGATACTTCCGGACAGACCTCATACATGTAGTTGTCATTTCTGACATGCTTGATTCTTCCTGAAGTTGTCAATTTCTGTAATTTCTGTACAACAGAATCTCCTTTAGCTTTTTTCATAGTTACAGATCTGCTGGTAATGAAATCTCAGTTTTGTTAATCTAAAGATGACGTTAATTTGGTTTTAAGTCTTTTTTTAACTCTTTTATTAACTTGATTGGGGTGACATTGGTTAATAAAATTATGTAAGTTTCAGGTGTACAATTCTGTAATACATCATCTGTATATTATGTGTTCATCACCCCACGTCAATTCTTCTATCACCATTTATGCCTCCTTTACCTTCTGCTACCTCCCCAGCCCCCTTTCCCTCTGGTAATCACCATACTGTTGTTTGTGTCTATGAGGTTGGCTTTGTTTGTTTGTTTGCTGAATTCCTGATTTTGTTCCAATCTTGGTCGGACAGAGCCACTAGGAGTCTGGCATGTGAAGCCTCCAGAACCTAGAGGGTAGTTCTAGTTGATTTCCCATGAGGGGGAAGTGCCAGTTAGGTTCACAGAGAAGTGGGGTATTGGCCCCCACCAGAAAGCCACACAGCTCACGTCATGGACACCCCCTGATTCTGGCTAGACCTCTATACCTTAGCTAAGGCCTGACTCCTCAGCAGGTTGTAAGCTCCTCAGGGTGGGGCAAGAGGGAATCCAGAGGGTGAAGGTATTGCTTTCCCCTATACTGATGCCATATGGAGGGGAGTGCTCTGCTGGAGAAAGATATGGGAAAATGCCTCAGCACAGGGATCCTGGTGGTTGTCCCTTCAGCTGTCTCTCCAGAGCCACCAGCCCCAGACTCTCCTCATGTGACTCTAGTTCATTCACCCTGCCTCTGCCAGGGCCCAGGGTGAGTAGCTAAGAATGAGATTTTGTGTGTTAGTCCTTTAAGAGAGTTCCTGAAGGACAGATACCCTGCTGCTTTTCACAGCCAGTTGTTATGTGGGTACTTTTCCCAGTTCTGGTGTTCTGGGCTAGGGAGCCCAGCTTCAGGTTGAGACCCCATTCTTCTCAGGGTAAAAACCCCTGGTGCAGTTGAGAGATCCCTTTGCAACCTTAGCTACCACACGTGAAAGTGAGACTAGCTCTTTTCATGTCTCCATCCTTCCCACCAGCCCAAGGGTGGCTTCTTTTGTAAATCCTCAGTTATAAGACTTCTCTTCTACTAGTCTTGTTGGTTATTCAGGTTGATTGTTCTATAATTTAGTTGTAATCCCAGTTTGGTCCTTGAAGGAGGTCAGTGTAGCTTCTACCTACTCCCCCATCTTGAATTCAATTAGTTTTAAATCTTGAAGAATATTTTTGGCAAGTAAAGTATTCTATGGTTACAATTGTTTGAATTTCTTTCAGCCCTTTAAAACTGGCATTTCATTGTCTTCTGGTCTCTTATTTTTTTGTTTACTTGTTTTTTGTTTCCTTTCTGATAAGTT